TAAGGGTACACAGTACTTCTTGATGGTACCAGGTTTACACTAAGCAAAAACGTCAAGGAATCCAAGGTCTCCGATGGCCACATGGATCCCTTTCTGCTTGAAGGATCATCCTGGTGGGAATACAAACAATTGAGATGATAATGACCTTGTCCTCACAGCCTTTACAACTCAATCAGGAGAGAGAATCATGCAGAAAGTACAGTTACAAAGGCAACCAGATGTCAGAGGATAAAGTCCAACCTCCTCAGACTTTACACAAGCCCTTTGGGATATAAACCTCTTTGCCTCTGAAGCCTCCTCTGTGACTAATCCTGACCCAAGTTCCTGTGTTCTCAAGGGCATCAAGACCCTTCCTGCTTCTACACTTTGTATCTGTACCTCCTTCACTTGGAGAGCCACCCGCTCCCTCATTGGCCTCACAAGCTCCTTCTTCTCATTTCAGATTCAGATCTGTCACCTTCTTTGGTGAGTCTTCCTTACTTACCTAGGTAATGCAACACATTTCACCATTTATCTCTTTGCCCATGGGGGCAGGCTGGAACTCCATTCTTACTGTCTCCAGCATTTAGTCTGGCCCCTACTAGGTGTTTAATGAGGGTTAGGTATTGAAGTAGCCAGAAGCACAACACAGTAATTAGGTGCTTATGTTCTGCTTTTAGATAAATCTGAGTTCACATTCAACCCTATACTTATTACTGAGGTGACCTTATGGAATTTCCTGAAACTTCAGTTTTCTGCTCTCTAAAAGAAATAATATCTGTATCAGAAAGCTGTTGCTATGACAAAAAGTGACATGTGAAGGAATGCGGGGAGAGTTGGAAAATGGAAGTTAATATTGTCATTATTTTTAAAGAATAGCTTAAATCTAATATAGTTAAATTTCACATACCTATGAATAAAGTAAAATTTCATATATTTGTATTGAGGATGTAACGAATAGGAAGAGGGTGGGTCACATGTAAATGAACCAAGTCAGAGTTTCTGGAGGAAGGGGATTTTAAACTTTAATGGTGTAATGCAAATGGAGGTCATGGAATGAAGGGGAAAAAAATTACTGGAGGTAAAAATGATGATACCAGGAGTAGATAAGTAACATTGAAACATATTGAAGGAGAGTATGTTGAGAAATAATAATAATGCTGAGAAATAATGGTGAGAAAATGACCAAGGTGGAACATGGTCCCCAGTGAAAGCTCTTGAGTCATGAAATGAAGTGAGTTTTGACGATTTCAAACACAGTTATGTATAGGTTCTATTGAATCAGGAAGAAATTTGAAGGCAGAGAGAACAAATAAAAGACCATAGTATCTGGGAACCCCATGTGGATGCCAAAGGTTGTCCCTAACAAATGCTAAATGAGTTCACGTTGGCGATTTTGGGTGGAGGGTTTTTCACACTTGCTGACGAAAAGCCACTTATTGACTGAAGTTGAAGCAACCAGAAAAACAATTTGAGAATGCCTCGAAGTGAGTTAATGGCCAATCCCAAGGGGAGGAGAGTAAGCACTTTTCAAGCATTTGCTGATCAAGACTTTTGCATATCTGAGCTCCCGCACATCAAAGAGGACTGCCCGCTGAGTTTGCTTACCCCTTTAACTAAGTCCTTGAATTTAAGGACAGAAGTTCCTATAAATGGAGAATTTCGAATAGTCAGAAATTACATTCAGACCAGTATAGCAGTTCTTCCTGTTAGAAAATGGCACAGCTGGTGTTATTAATCAAGCAAAAATACTGCCCACCTAGAACCCAGTGACCTTCACCGGGTGGTTGCAAAATTGGCAGGTTTCAGATTTCAAATGAGAACTGCCTCCTAGCTATCCTGAAAGACTGGGATCCAAAGGTCAGAAGTTCCTTTACCAAGAGGTCAGGTCACTAGGGTCGGGGTGTCCAGGGCTGTGTCCCAAAGGTCAGAATGCTCTGCCAACAAGACTTCAACCAGAGTGTGGAACTGGAAGAAACCCATGTGTGAGGGTGTAGCAAGAGAAAGATCAATAGGCTGATTTGCCAAGGTTAAAGAAATATGGGCCATGGAATCTGGCAAACCTAAATGTGTTGGGAAACATGCCTTTAAGTTTAAGTTGGGTTCATAAGAATTTGACTTACTTCAGAGCAATAAATGTGTGCCGGTCTTATCTAAAGACCAAGGTGTCAATTTTATTGTTTGTTGCACACAGTCATGACCACTGGTGCCATTTTCTCTGTGTTGTGCTTCGAAATGATTATATTCGTTAAGACTCAGGGTGCCGACAATTTCCTAGTGTTGTGTGCCATGTATTTACAGAGATCAAAATGAGGCATTAACGACCTTACGGTATTACCTTTAAATATGTATAAAGTACATTTGAAGCAGTTTATGCCTGAATTTTGAGTTGTGTTTACCTTTCTTTCCAAGTTATTTTGAAAGGGAAAAAAAATAAAGTATCAATAAAGTATCTTAATTTTAGGTCTTTTTTATTTCACTTCATATTTTATTGTGAAAGCTGTAGCACCAACAGACTGGATAAAGACAATAATTTGGCATCACTCATTAAAATAGCCAAACGAAGATTTACAAGAAAAAAATACCACATGTATACCACGTTTTTCACTTAAAACACACGAGTCCAAGAAAGCTGCTATTATGAAAACCTTGTATTTTGTTCTGTGCTTTTCAGTTCACAGAACATTTTAATATATATCGTTCCATTTGATACCCACTAGGCACCAAATATAATATGTAAGTAACCAAGTTAATTGTGAAAATTTTTGGTATTAAATGGCACTTGGACAAGTTAAAGACAATGAACTATAGTTCCATTTTTGGCATGTGATTTCAATTAGCTCTAATAAGATTATATATTTTATCCAATGTGCATTGTGTAAAAAATAAATTCATATGACCTAATGTCATTAAAATGTTATCATCTTTGGCTCTTCTCTCCTCTGGAATGTGCTAGGCATCATGCAGAATATTGCAAGTTTGCATAATACAGAACGGCAGCATAAATGTTGAGATGTAATTCTGTTGTCTTTTCAAGATATACTGCAGCACGACTAATGACTATACATCTCAGCTTTAGCAAGATCCAATTTTCTCTTCTAAACTAAAAAGTCACTCCCAAGATTTAGGCTTTCGTTTGACAAAATCGTTCCCTTAAAAATACAGAAGAAACGCCAAGACTGTAAACTAACAAAAATGTGTGGCGACAGACAGTTGGTGCCTCATAATGCACTGGTGTTTCATTAATCACTGTCACAAACTGTACATTCCGATGTGTATGTGACTTCCAGGGTAATATATTGAGTAGTGAAAGTTGCATGTGAAGATCAATTTAATATTTCAGGACAAGGGGAAAAGTTTGTATTTGTAAGGACGGATAATACCTGATCAGATATTAAGATAATGTTCTTATCTTGACAGTCCCTTCTCCAAATGACCTGGAAGACTCCTAAAATCCAGGCTGTTATCCTAAGAAACATGTTTAAAATACTTCCCTTCAGTCAGATTCTGAGGTTTCTTGGGAGTAGAACCAAACGTTTGATAAGTACCTTTGTTTTGTTTCAAAATCTCTTTTGGGGCCAGATGTCTCCACTCATAATGTTTAATTCACTTGAGATAATGTGCCACCAAAGCATTTATCATGATTATGGTGTTTAACCCAAATTAGTGAGTGAAAGGATTTAAAATGATATCATTTGCTAGAAATTTTTGGGATTTTTCTTAAAGAAAGAAGTCTAACTCAGCCAATCAAATACATTCAATGTTCTCCTAAACTCATATTTAATCTTACATACATTTAAATTGTTTCATCTTCTTAAAGTAAGTTCTTAACTTTTCAACTAAGCAAATCTTCCCCAGAGGTAAAATCCCAATCCAGTGCCCGTTCTCTTAGAAAGTCTTACCTAACTGCTCACTTCCACTTAAAATATAGTTTGTACCACCTGTATTAATCATATTTCACTAGTTTATGTATATGTCACATATGTTGGTCATGCTTCCCCAACTAGATCTTAATTCATAAAGGAGAACAGGGAAGAGAATCAGTACTAATCGACCTGTTATAAACAATGGAATGTGCTACGTATTTTGTATATGTGATCCCATATTACAAGATCAAGGTTTTACACTTCTTGTTGAATTCCAAAATACAGGGCAAAACTGGTATTCAAGAAATGCTTGTTCATTTAAAATCAGTCTTTAAAGTTATTTCCTCCCGAAGATGTTATTAATGCTAGTTCATTCTATTAGCCATTAGTAAAGGTCTTTCTAAGATTAGCCAATTTTCATATTCATAAGAATTTTAGTCTCATTTTTATAAAAGCTAACAACTCAGAGGAGGTATCATGAAGTAAGACAACGACAATAACTTTAATGTGTTTTATGATCTTTTTCTCTTCCTTCCATCCCTTTCAAGGACTTAATGTGGAAGAAAAAGTTTACAACACATTCTCAACACAACTGTTACATTATAAACTCTTGACTAAAAATGCCTGGGTTCAAATTCTGACCCCACCATCATGAGCAAATTATTTAAACGGTGTACAGCCAGTTTCCTTTATCTGTAAAGTAGAGATAACAGCACATTGTCAGAGGTCTCTGTGAGGATTAAATAAGATATTGTGTACCAAATGGCTGGCCCTTAATAAGCACTCAATAAATATTAACTATTTTTTATTGTTACAAATTGTCTTTCCTCATTTCTCCATCTAAAGACTTGAGGAAAATAAAATCACACCTTATCCAAATAAGTGGGTGAAAATGTAATAAATACCTCAGATGCTTCATTCTCATCAAGCTAATATGAAAAATGGAGTGAGGGGCCCCTGGGTGGCTCAGTTGATTAAATATCAGACTCCTGATTTCAGCTCAGTTCATGATCTCATAGTTGTGACATCGAGCCCCGAGTTGGGCACTGTACTGAGTGTGGAGCTTGCTTGAGATTCTCTCTCTCTCTCTCTCTCTCTCTCTCTCTCTCTTTCTGTCTCCCTGTGCCCATCTCCCTCACCTGTGTTCTCTCCCTCTCTCTAAATAAATTAAAAAAAAAAATGGAGTGAGGTAAAGTTTATCAGACCAAAGATTAAACTTATACAGTATACGTCAACTTATCCCGTACCTCACTTTGATCCTCTTGTCTGGTATAACCTATTTCTCATACTTGGTTCACTCTGGTCCAATTTACTAATATAGATAAATCACGCATATGAATGTTCCCCGCCATTGTCTCATTCCTGCTTGCTGGAGAGGATTTGCCATTTCTTTCTGAGTGTCTCCCAATGCCTTCTGCCATCTGAGGAAAAGCCTCTTTTTCCAGATTGTTTCTCCTGAACTTGTGTCATGCACATTCAGAAGGAAAGTGGTAGAAATAAAACAACCAAACAAACAAACAAACAAAAACAGGGCCCAGACTGGGTCTGGGGAAAGCTCTCAGGAAGCTTCGGAAATGAGAAACCTGGGGGAAACCGCAGTGTGTGAAACTAGAGTAGAAATGGATTTAAAAAGTCATGCTGTAGACTTGTGTTCTCTTTGTGGTGTTCTAGAAAAAGAAATAAAGATATTTGATTATTTTGAAATGACTTTTTTAGTTTCTGAGTTTTTCTTTAACAACGGTACATTCTGAGACTGGACCACAGGCTTCATGGCTTTATAACTATTACCCAAGTTAAGCGCATGACTAAAATTTACCATAAAGTGTAGGAAGAAAAATTTGAGGGCACAAATTGTTGTAGTCGTGTAATAAGACAATTCATGTTGCTCAGCTTGGCTAAATAGCTTTCAGCCCTGGGCTCCAGCAAGCAGCAATCAATCACTCCACTCCACCATATTAAACAGCTGCATTCACTGGGTCACTTTATCCATCTGCATGTTTAATTTTTCGTACAAATTTCAAAAACACTTAATATTTCTCTTCCTTTATATTTCAGCTCACGTGTTTCTGCTTCTGTATATTTAAGATGATCTTTAAATCCATAAGCGCTTTTGGGAAGGTAGTATTTTTCCACAGCAGTCATCATCAGCCTTTTGAGTCTTGAGAATAAATGGTTCCTAAGAAACACACACAGAGTATAGGTGCTTTATTATCCTGAGAATTCTAAACTGGATGTCTCCCCATTCTCCTTCTAGTGCTTTCTCCACAAATCCTGCAGTTTATTATCCTAAAAATGAATTTGACTGCTAAAGGGTAGCAGACTATGCCACCTCAAAATATGCCACTTTGGTATAAAGATTGTTTTGAGCTGAGGGCAATTGAGAAAAAGCAGATACAAGAAAAGCTCTATGCCCTCCCCCTATTTATCTAAAAGCGGGACATAAATTGTAAATATGTCTCTCCTCTCCTCTCCACCAGGAAGGACAGAAGTTAATCACTAGAGACAACTCTAGATCCTTATCAGCCCAGAGATGGCACCAGATGAACCCACATAACAAATGTTTCCAACTAGCCTTTATCTTCTATTAGTTCCCCAATACATTTGCCTTCCCCCAATATGCTTCCCTAAAGCTCAAAGTTGTTTTTCCTTTGTCTTGTCATTTCTCCAAAAATGCATTGTTCTTCTGTTAAGATGTCATATAAGCCCAAGCTCTAATCACCCCTTTGAGTTACTCATCCCTGGGTACTTCCATGTGTAAACACACATGAATACACTTCTGTTTGCTTTTCTCTTGTTAATTTGTCTTTTGTTACTCCAATTTACAAGGCCTCAGCCAGTGAAACTAAGCTAGGTAGAGGGAAAAGTTTTCCTCCCGGACATCACCATATTCATGCTTAAAACCCCTGTTGGCTTCCTATACTTATGGAATAACCCATCTCCGCAGATGGCCCTTCACAATGAGCCCCAACCTGTCTCCCCAACTACTCTTTTCCAGCACTTTCTGTAGGGGGCCACACAAAACTTTTCCCTACTGCTTGAAGACACTTTGCCTGGAAACTGGGGAGGAGCCGCTCTCATATAAACTGTTTCTTGTATCTAAAATGTTCTTCTGGGAAAATGTATACTGCTAATTACGCATGACTCACTCAACACTTGACTCAGTTCAAGTGTCCTGTCAGTGGTGGCTTTTCCTCAACTTCTCCAGGTAGTGTTAATATTCCTGGGGCACCAATTTTTTATTATCTCCTTTAACCATGACAAGAACCAAAGAGAAATTCTTATTAGCCTCATTGTACAAATAATAAACTGGGACTACAGAATGTAAAGGACTTGTTTTGAGGGTACAACTGGCCAATTTGCCCCCACTGCCCTCACAGCCAAGGAGCTGTCCCTCCTCTGTGCTCTTGTAAATTTCTTTTGCAGTCTTTAGCAGGAAGTATTGAAAATATCTATCTCAGTCTGTTTCCTCTGCAGTTCTAACTGGATTCCTTCCTGAAGTTAAGATGTCCATAGTCCCAGGACTACCTATCGTTTTTGGTGTTCATCTGTTTCTTGAGGCAGTGCAGCAATCAAGCAATGAAACATTTTCTAATTGAAGAATGAAAGGAAACATGAGCTGATAGTTTAATGAGCACCTATGCTATTTACCAGGCATTATGCTGATTCTACAAAGCTCATTCAAACTATTTAATGAGTTTTACCAAAAGTCCCCTTTTTTATCAAAACTTATTTATATTACATAAAATATAACACAAATTTCTAACACTTTAACCAAATGAAGTAAATCTGCTAAACTTTCAGGAATTACAGGCTTGCTTAGAACTTATTATACAAATTGTTGAAGATGCATTTCTTATGTGTTAATAAAGAACAAAATCAGTGAAAGCCAACTAAGAACCAGGGCAAAAAAAGTGCATGCAATTTGTTCTCTTTACACAGATGTAAACCCATCAGCCTGCATTTCTTTTTCTTTTATTCACGTAGTGGCAGTAAACAGGCAACCCAGTCTTCTGTGTGTTCTGTTGTATTTTAGGCTCTTTTGATGACAAGTGGAAGACCAGTTCAACCAGCCTAAGTGAAAAGGAGATTTAATTATAAGAATTCAAGAGGGTCTCACAAATTCCACCCCTCTAAAGGAATTGGACTCAGAAATAAAAGCTGCTAGGCAGTGACTCTCTCTCTCTCTCTTTCCATGGTCTCTTATCTCCACAATTCTCTTTGCTGGTTTCCATCATTGCTTTTTGTCATTTCTCTGTTTCTCTTTCTACATAGTGGAAGATGGATAGCTCACCCAGGGACATTTTACATGCTGTGTGCCTCTAGCCATGTTTATAGACTAATGAGATGCCTCTGAGAATCAGTTTCTTAGAGAATCTGATTGGCTCAGCATGGTCAGGTGTCCACTCTGGGCCAGTTGCAAGCAGTCAAAGCAACACACACAAAGAAAGAATAACCTAGGGGTGAATTTCTCAGAGAAAACGAGTCAGTGTTAACTGAGCAGATGCCCCAATAGTTGTCCATTCCATACATGTTCTTATCCAGCTTTCTTCTGGCAAGGAAACCAGTTAGAATGTCTGTATGTTACAATTTTGCCAAACATTCAAAATACACAACATTGAGGCATCAATTTCTCAATTTGTAGTAGATTCAGTCCTAAAAATTTAGACCACTATTTTCTAGCCACTATAAAATCATTAGGAATGATTGAATCCATACCTTATCTGGTTGTTAGGTAAGTTTCTCCACTTTCCCAAATAGATTGATGTTTTCAGTTCAATATAACTACAACTAAAGAAAATGTGCGGAGGAAATGTCTTTTCTTATTACATTATAATCGTGTTTGTGTCATAACAAAGTGGCTAAATGAAAGGGACATACTCAAATCACTGCAGGACCAAATTAGCAAATTGAATAGTTTTGGTGTGTTCACAGAATAACCGATTAAACCGTGTAACCTCGAGAGAGGCAGTTTCCAATACACAGAAACATCGAATAGGAGGGGCCTCTGCTCTGAAGATGTAATTGGACATGGATGAAGGGGTAAGTCAGAAAATGCTCACCTAAATCCCTCCCTAATTTTGCCTACTTCAAAATTATTAGCCCCTCGCCTTTAAATACAGAAATAAGTATTATCGACTTGTTGTTTTTCACAAAAGTAAACTTGTGTAAATAAAATTGCTCCCCAAATTGCCAAGTTTCCAGTCTCCAAATCACCAAAATTGCTGACGAAAAACTCCTATGACTAGGCAATAAACCGAGTGCACGATGTCATCTCCGCCCTCCGCGCCCCCCGCGCCCCCCCCCCCGGCCATTGAAATGACAGTAAGGTGTTTAAAAGAGAATGAATTGGTAACATCATAAATGGGGGGTTATAGAAAGTACAAGAGGTGGCCTAATTAGGAAATGAAAGCAGATGGGGATCGCAGGGAAGTGTACCCCCAGGGTGGAGGAAGCCACACACTCAACGGTATATACACTTGTTGAAGAATGCTGTATTTCAGGGAGGACCCTTCTTAGGTGAAGTTCTGGAAAAACTCTAAATAAAGAATCAACAGATTAGAGGGAAGCAAAGGGCTGTGGAATAATGCCAGTCAGTGTCTAAACCAGAAAAATAAAAACCTTGGGGCACCTGGGTGGCTCAGTCAGTGAAGCATTTAACTCTTGATTTTTGGCTCAGGTCATGAGCTCCCGGTTTGCGGGTTCGAACCCTGCATCAGACTCCGGCTGACAGTGCGGAGCTTGCTTGGGACTGTCTCTCCCTCTCTCTGCCCCTCCCCTGCTTTTGCACTCTCTCTCTCTCTCTCAAACACAAACAAACAAACAAGAAAAACCTTAAAAGGAATATAATAACAGGGGTGGGTTTTCTCTGCCTGGAATTGTGTGGCAATTAAAGAAAACCTTTAAAAGTTATCCTAAACTAGAGAAATCAACTGCTACAGAGAATGGGTTATCCTGATCATGGGAAGAACTGGAAATGCCCAAGATCTTGAGATGGTGATGCAACTCAGAGATTGGCAATTGCGGTAAGCCTCTACCATCCCCAAGGGCTAGAAGAGCCAAAGGAAAAGGGAGTGTTAACAGAGCCCAAAGCTATCGCCTTCTAGCAGAAGTTGAAATGGCCGCAAGCCTGCGCAGTTGAAGCTGAGACCATAGAAGAAAGGACAGATTGGCAGGAGAGGTATGAAGAAGGCACTGCCACTTCTGCAAATGCTGCCTGCGATACTACAGCTGCCTGGGACACACAAACAGTGATAAATACCCTGGTTTCTCTTCTTCTTCCCACTCTCCAGTCTTCCACCTGTACTTTCTGCTGGAGAAATCTATCCAATTGACAAGGAAGCCTAAGAAATAAGGCTCAGGTGCCTGGGTAGCTCAGTTGGTTAAATGTCCAACTCTTGGTTTCAGCTCAGGTCGTGATCTCATAGCTCGTGAGTTTGAGTCCCGCATGGGGCTCTGTGCTGACAGTACAGAGCCTGCTTAAGATTCTCTCTCTCCCCTTCTCTCTTTGCCCCTCCCCCACTTGTTCCCTCTCTCTCTCTGTCTCTCTCTCAAAATAAGTAAATAAACTTAAAAATTAAAAAAAGAAAAAGAAAAAGAAAAAGAAGTAAGGCTTCTGTTCTGTGGAGCAGGGCAGGAGGAGATTGAGGAATACCTTTGAGATCATATAGCCATATGGCAATCTAGGCACAGTTTTCAGGTAAATGCTTTCTAAAGGAACTAACTCCCTAACAAGACAGACTTCGGGGCCCCAGTGGGAGTTAATACCCTAGAGCAAAGCCTCGTTCTCATTATTATTTTTTTTCCAAGAGTGGGGAGGAGGTCTACCCCTAAATGGTAAAGTGCACCTGCTGTTTTTTACACACACAAAATTCCTGGCAGAGAAAACCCTCCCCTGTTATTACATTCATTAATTGAACCTTTTATTCACAACTTCGAGTGGACAAACCAAAGAATACTATTTATGTGAGAAAAACCAGGGGGTCAAAAAAAGGGGGCTTGAACAGAAGCAAGTGACCCCTAAGAAACAAATAATCCATGGAATGGAATTAGTCTTTCAGAGAGATTCAAGAATATGTTGCTCACAAAAAAATAAATAAATAAAATAAAACCAAAAAGCAAAACCAAACAAACAACAAAAAAAAAACCCTAGCACATCAAGAAGAGATCACTATGAAAAATACACAAATAGAAAATGAGCATTCTTGGAAATTAGATGTATGAATGGCAAATTTTTAAAAAATAATATAAGTCAAAATAATTCTAATTTGAAACCCAGAGCCAAAGCCTCAAAGATTAAATATATAGGTTATGATATATATGTTGAATGGTAAACTGAGGCACATTAAAATTTACACTACTTTCTTTGCACAGACATCCATTCAAATTAGGCAGCACCGAACAAAGTTAAGAGTGTTCCCCTGACAAGCTGGGAAAGGCTTTTGCAGATGGAAGCAAAGTAAGGGAATTATTTGATTGGCTACTGCTTAACCAGTTGTCCAATTTGTGGAAGCCTAGTTGGATGTTTGCGATTAGATGTTCTTAAGTTTCATTTTCTCGGATTCAAGTGCATTGACCCTGACTTAGGTTTCAGTGTGTTATATAGGCTACCAAGATCTTAGACCACCTCAGTTTAAGTTTCCTTGTACATATGTGATTAATATATATGTAGCTTTGAATAGAAATTTATATATGTAATATATTTAAATGCATATAAAAATGCATGCTAATTTATAATATATAACTTTTTAAAATATACTTTGTGTTATATATTATATATATTTGTATTATATATTATACATATATATGTTAAAGAAAAATTAATAGATATGGAGACTTAATCAAGAGGTTCAATATCCTAAGAGAAATTCCCAACAAAGAGAACAGAAGTGGGAGACATTAAGCAGGAGGCAGAGAAGAAGAAGCAAATTTGCAGGAACTCAAGAAATGCCCGAGTGCCAACTGGGCATAGGATGAGGTATTCATACCTATACCAACAGGAACTAGTTATATCCTTCAGCGTTCTCAGTCTGAGGGCAATTAAAAATGTGAGGGTATAAAATAAAGACATTTTTGAACACACAATGAGTTATCTTCATTTACCTTTTCTTATAAAAAAAAAACAGCTGTAGTTTCTTTTCAAAACAACAGAAAAGAAATTGAAAAAAGGGAAGCCATGAGATCCAAGAAATAGTACACCCAACACAGAACTACAGTGAAAAGAGACTCTTTCAAAGCAGGCTCTGTGGAAAGTGAGAAGAAACAATGGTCAAACTTGGCAAATGAATATGGAAGGTTTTAACCACAATGTTTTCATGTTGACATATAATGCAGCTAAAAGGCAGGATCTTTGTGGGGCTGAAATAAAGGTTTATGCTGCCTCCTTAAATAAAAGAAAGTAACAGAAACTTAGAAGCTCACGGAAGATCAAAGAACTCTATAAGGAAGCCTTGGACCAAATATGAAGAAAGGTGCAATATGGAATAACTTTGAGGTCCTCATGGAGTGGAAGGAAAGAGATCTACTTGACCTTCACGATTAAAGTGGCCCATTTTTAGTGAGATAAAATTATATCATTCTACCATGTTCCATGGTGGTTAATAATTGCTGCAATTAGAATATTGAAAACACTTATTGGGTCTGAATTCTAGCCTATAAAGTATAGATAAATGGTTAAATATTTAATTAATTATAACGGTAATGCAGAATTTAAATAGTACGAATTTGGTCAGTGTAAAAATAATGACAGTTTACAGAGCTAAGTAAGTATAGAGAAAAAGTAGGAAAAATTGTGTAAAGAAGCACTAATGTTTCTATCTTAATAATGGGACCTATGGAGTAATGAATATCGATTTTGATGAATAAAACATGAAATTTAGTAATCAGGTGACAAAAATTTAAGGGGGCGGAAGTCCACTGGAAGTTAAGAGAGTATAAGTTAGCTAATTCATCAGCTTCCATATAGAAAAATGAATATTTTAAGGTATAAATTTGAGGGTTTATAATTGTTAAATAATTTTAAGCGGTTAGTGTAAAATAGAGGTATGAATGTGCAGTTTAGCACAGGAGTTCCAAGTTGATGGCCCATAAGCTAATTCTGCAAGAATCCATTTTTGTTGTTGTTGTTTATTTCCCATATAATGTTTGTAAAACTTGAGAAGCTTAGCCAAAACATTCAGATTTCTAATTGATCTTTTAAAAAAAAAAAAAGAATGTAAGAAAGATCTAGCAACACTGAAATTGCATTCCTCCGTGGGAGCAATCGGCCAGGGCTAGCAAACAGGCTTGCCTTAGATGGAGCCTGTGCTATGCCTTTGGCAACATTCTACAGGCTTCCAGGTATGTTACTTATGCCCTGCTTTCTTTGTTTACACCAACTGCCTAGCTTCTGTGAGAGTGGAATCTTTGACCCCTCACTGAGAGTTACAGAGTTAAATATCAGAAGAACTATACCTGGCTCAAGGTTGGTACCTCTGGGGAAATGAGATCAAGGGTGGAAAGACTTCAGTATGGGAGATAATAATCTTTCATTTCAGGACAGTTTTAACCAGCTCTTTTATTTCTATGTCTATTTGTCCATGTATTTCTATGTCTATGCCCATATCTTACCTGGCTCTAGTCTGGCCACAGACTGAGTCAGAGATAATAAAGCTTCAGAAAAAAAATGAAGAGACCCTATGCTTGTTGAAGGGTCAACTATAAGTAGGAAGATGGCTTTCAAGGCAATGGTTCAGTATCTGGGGGTTCACGGATACTATAAAAAATAAAATAAAAAAAATTAGAACAACCTATCTGCCTAGTGGAAGTAATATACTGTTTCTCTGATTTTGCTTGTGGCCAACTGTTAACTCTCCCAAATAACCATGTGCCCCTCTACATTTCCCAGCCGTCCTTGTAGGATGTTGCAATTATGTGACTAGACTCTAGCCGACAGGATGTGGGCAGATGTGATGTAAGCCGCTCCCAAACCTGGCCCAAAAACTCTTCCCAAGCAATCTTACATATGTCTTTCCCTTCCTCAGCAATTTGGAAGCCAGGTGTTCAAGATGTCTCAGCTGCAAGACAGAGGGAGCCTATCTGACCCATATTGGACTGTGATGTGAACAAGAAATAAGCCTTGTTGTGTTAAGCAGTTGAGATTTGGGGATTGACTGTTCCAGTAGTTATTGTTAGTTACCTAAACCAGTGACTCGCAAACTTAGCATGTTTCAAAATCACCAGAAGAGCTTGTTACAATACAGACTGCTCACAGGTGACTTAATATGAAGTCTCCTACATATTAGCATTGAAGCAATACTTACAATAACATGAGTCCACTGAAATGAAGATGTAGGATGAATGGACGATGCCAGATTTCTGAGATCAGCATAATGGTGCTTGTATCTACACTGAGGTGTTACAGGCAGTCTGGAACATGATGACTTCAAGTTACCATGAAGCACAATTTCAATTACAGCGTAATTATGATCTGGGAAACCAGAAGGCAGATGGATCAGCCTCCTGTGAGGTCACCTCTGTTAGGGAAAAGCCCAGGTCAGACTACAGGTGAAAAGTATAGAAGAGAAAATGTAAGCAGACACAGACCCCGGGGAAGTCACATATTGGAGTCATGATCAGTGTCACAACCTCATACCTACATGTCAATCTCTAACAGTTCCAAACAGGACCTTTTCATTTCCACCTAGGAGCAATCATAAAAAGTTTCCTGCCAGGGGAAGGAAAATACCCAATAGGAATCCCATGATTTTATGTCAAGAACACTGGCAGAAAACAAATGAATTTCTTTTTTTTTTTTAATTTTTTTTCTCAATGTTTTTTATTTATTTTTGGGACAGAGAGAGACAGAGCATGAACGGGGGAGGGGCAGAGAGAGAGGGAGACACAGAATCGGAAACAGGCTCCAGGCTCCGAGCCATCAGCCCAGAGCCTGACGCGGGGCTCGAACCCGCGGACCGCGAGATCGTGACCTGGCCGAAGTCGGACGCTTAACCGACTGCGCCACCCAGGCGCCCCAACAAATGAATTTCTAATGACCTAGGAGCGACAGACTCAACCTTAGAGGTTAAAAGCAGTGATTAGACAAAATTCAATTTTCTTTTCTTTTTTCAGATATACAAAACGTGCGCCTGTGCGGTGGGTATTTCTACAGTACTTTTCACAACATTGATTTGATTATGTTGCCTAATTTGTCACTGTTCCTTCCCAAAAAGATAGTTTTCCATTAGCCTCTTCAATAACTTCATATTCTTCTTGTATCCCCTGCCATGAGCCACACAGGCTAGTCTTTCTTCTTATACAGAGAGATAATAAAACTCATTTTTCTTTTTGTCTTTGACTTACTAATATTTAATTTGTTAATTATCTCACCATCATATGATAATAAATTATCCATGTTTTCCAGACACTACTTTTTCTGTTTCATTTCTTTCCCTTGGTTTCTTGCATAGATCTGATCACAGAAATTCCTGCTTGGACATTGCTGTTAATATTCTTGAGGAGAACTTTGTTACTGCAAGTTATTAATGGAGAGTCAAATGAGAACAGTATGATTACACTATTTGATTTTTCCCATTCTATTTGCAATCCAATGGGATATTCACTCTTGATGTTATTAACTCTTCACATTTAAATTTTAATCCTCATTTATAAGCCATCTGTTGTCCTTAACTCTACAGGTCAAAAAAAAAAAAAAAGAAATTAGATTTTTCTCTGTCCTCTTGAGAAATGTGACTACAGGAAATGATGAGCAAAAATGAATTTTACTGCAGTCTTGACATTCAAAAATTTTAAATATCTCAAACTATTCAGAAAAAGGTAGCCTTTAATTCTACTTCATTCATACTGTCTTCACAGTAAGTATTATTAACCATCTGCTCTCTACAAAGCTTTGTGCTAGGTGTTGAGGAAGATCCAAACATCAACGAGACACAATCTCCTGTATCTTCTTAGAACTTAGAAGTAATATACATTCATAAGTAGTGATGGTCTTGATAGTAAATGTTAAAGTCTTTAAGAAAAGGAGAACTTAAAAGCTATCTATCGGAAGATAGATTATTTAGAAGAGGAATCAGTGAGAGTTTCATGGACATCTGAACTAGTTCCTGAAGAATTGTAGGATAGTGATTGTACAGGAAGGAAGTGTAGATGGGAGAAGGCAGTACTATATGGAGCATGTTTGGGAATGGGGTAACTTCGGAGGAGGCTATCAAGACAGCATAGGGTATCATTAGGAATAAGGTTGACAAGAGGCAAACCGGTACCAGATTACAGATGTTTGAAGGTAACATTCAGGAATTTAGAAGTCACCCTGTGGTCCTGAAGGGTGTGACAGAGTGTGTGAGAGTGACAGTTTTGTTTTCAGAAGATTGATCTGGTAACAGGCGTGTAAAATCTGAAAATCAGATTCAAGAGATATTGATGGAAGAGAAATTGTGTGGGTCAAGCAGACAGAGAAATCAAAGATGACTCTGAAGTTGAGAGCCTGACTGACTGGGTGGGTGGTGACTACGCGCAGCAAAAAGCAAGTCAGAAGAAGCAGCTTGTCTGGGGAAAGGTGTTACTACAGAATAGCTGAGTTGAAAATGCCGGTTGGGAACCCAGACAAGGCCAGTGCAGAAATAGAGCTGAAGCTCGAAAGAGGGCTGGTTGTTAGTGTTGAAGATTTGGAAAGAGATTAAGACCAAGGGAGGGGAGAGGCGGTAATTAAAATCACCGAATGAAAGAATATGGTGACAGAAACGTAGAGAGCTAATAATTATCTGGGACTAGCATTACCCGATTTACTTCATTCACTCACACTAAATTCAGAACAGCTCCTAGAACCTCCATCATAGAGAGAACGGTCAACAATGTTGAATGTTACAGTAAAAGGTAGATCTGTGGATTTCTGTTTGCATTTGGGATTAAAGTCATGATTCTGAGAATCTACATATGCAGTCTTTTTATTTCCTCGCGTCAAGTGTAGAATTTGGCAGTTAGGTAGGTCATTTGACATAGTCAGAAATCTAACTGGGTAACTCCTAACTCACCTAACTGGAGTTTGAATCATTCATTTGGATTTTCTAGAAGTGAACACATTGTTTTCTAACTCTGTGTCTTCTGGCTAAACTCTAAGCTCCTGAAAGGTAGGGCTTGGGTCTTGCAAGGGCAAGGCCCTTGAAGGAAGCTTGATACTTGCTTTTGTTACGTATAGTAGTAGAATAAAAATTGGCCTCAACTATGTGAAATCTTCAGCCATTTGCAGGAGTAATTAAGAATAAAAGAAGAGAACCAAGGATTCAGCATAATGTGTGTGCCAGGACCAGTAGAATGCTAAAGAATGGAGAGCTAACAAAGGTAAAGATGACCCTCGAATTTAACAGGAAGTCAGACTTCCCCTAGCTACTGGAAAGACATTCTTTATGGATTAAAAAATAACTATTATTTTCAATTTACAAATGAGTTTATAAAGGCAGACAGGTTAAGTCACTTCTGGAAGATCCTAATGTGTCAGCAGGAAATCAAAGCCTGAAGTTCGGAACTTGCTTCCCACTAAGGGCTCTGAGCTGTAACCTAAGAGAGAGGTTCCAAACTTTCCTAAAACTTCGCTTCTCAGGTCATGGGTCGTTATGCTTTTCCCCGAGGTTAGTTTTACATGAAGAATTCAGGGGAAACCTGCACTTTTAAGTGACAGAGAATTACAAATGCTATTATCTTTTTAGAAATCATATGGGGCTTCCTTTCTCAAAGCCGAAGTGGGAATAATCCATGGGAAGGTAAAACATCCTCCCCACTGCCATCCTCCTCCAAAATAAACATTTACTGCATAATGAACAAATGTGGGACAAATATATTTACTTGCAAAATGATGAAGGCGATTGTTGCTTCCCTTGGAAGAGGTTTATTAGATATTGGTTGAAAAGGTTCATTTCTTGAATAATAACCAGGAATAAACTGTGTCCATGTTACCGTGCAGCTTCTTTTCATTTTTAGCCTCACTGCAATCTTGAAAGAGGGCAGGGAAGAGTTAACCTAAGGCCCAGACAGTCCCCTGCTGATCTGTAATGAGTGAGAGCTGAAGCTGAATGTCAATAGCTCCTTGTGAACTTGGGTAACCCAGCTGAGCCCTCTGCTTGCCAGAGCTGGAGGAGGTAATCAGCTTGACCTGTGTGACCTTCCTGAGGCTGTGCTCTGTCCTGCATCGAGAAGCTTCTTTGCATATGATTCCTACATGCTACTCAGTTGAACTTCTTTTAGGAGAACTGATCCTGAGTCAGCCTTAAGAGGAAACATAATATAAATTAGTCAATGCTGGTTGCAGGTTGCACAATATAGTAGATGCTTTAAAAAAAAAAATAATAGGAACACATCCTGGAAACCTCAAAAAGATTTCCAGGAACAGCTATGACATCTGCCCTTCCAGCGTTATTAAAATAAATTGAAGGTTATGTAACAGTTCTATCAGCACTTCAGATTTCTTGTGGAGTTGTGTTTCATCGAGTGCTTTCACCTTTCTGGGTTTGGTAAATGGATTTACTTTTGTTTTATTGTTTACTCATCACTGTTTTCACTGCATAGTCCCAAGGATGCCATACACACAGTGTTTACAGTATAGATTCTAGGTATACTGCATAAGATTTTCTTTGAATTTCTAACAGCATTTTGTCCTTATTCTGTTCAATAAATGAAACTTGAACAATAACTAAACTTCTATCTGGGTCTAAATATGCTGTTATTAGAAGAATATTATTCACTGAGAGAATGAATGTAATTCTGATGCTAAACTGCATAACTTACATAACCATATCGAAAATGGCACAGTACTTCCCATAAAAGTAAGAGTGATTTGAATCACAAAGATCAACCTATCATAGACTATACAAATCCATACGTAAGTCCCATAACAAATACAGAGTTTATATTCCCAAGAAAATGGGGCTTAAATGTAACAAAAATATTCAGTTAACTTATGCTCATAGGGGTGTCCAAGTATTCCAAATCAAAGGCACATTATTCCTCGAGGAGCTAGAAACTTTATTCCTACCCTAAAGCAAACTTACCTCCAGGTATATCTATTATGCATATTCAGTCTTTAGAACTGAGGAATCCTCCATCATGACAAACGAATTTTGCCTGGAAAAAATAAATGCCTAAGCTGTAGTTTTCCCTAGTTTTTATAATAATGAAGTTTAAAGTTCTTAGTAAAGAATTGCTCCAGAAAGGTGAAATCTTTATCAAATGCAATCAGCCACCGTCATTACTTTGCAGGTTAAAGGAACACAGAAGATACTGCTGCAGGGTGGGCAAAGGAAGCCAGTAACGTGGGAAGTCACAATCTGTCGTCAAACATTGTAAAATACTTTGTCGCCTTCTTTGGACAAATGCACATGGTGAAACTGTGGGATGGGGGGAGAAAAAAGCCCATGAACAGTTCTATATTAAGCTTAACATTATACTCTCAGCTTGGTCCTAAGAGAAACAACACAGTTATGAACCCTCAGATGAGCCGAGGCAACAGATGATAAAGATTACTTGAGGGAAATGACACCTATATATTTGACCAAAACTGTCAAACACACACACACACAGAAAAACTACAAACCACTGCACTTTACCCAGACTTGCCCATTTCTGGCTCAAGCGTCATGTTCACTGACAGCTTGCACATCTCTGAATAAATATCTTAAGAGGACAATTCCCAAAGGAGGTTGATTTTTCAAAACACATGCCACGTGCCCAAGTAAATCATGTATTGAGACTGGACTCTGACAGCCAACTTAAACGAATGAAATATATTTTCCTTGCCGATTTTTAAAAGCTTGTCAAGATTGGCTTGCATGATAACTCGTTATTTTAGCAAAGTCTAAGTTTGTATATAGAGTTGGCCTCTAGAAAGTATCACGTTTGTTTTGCCCCTAGAATATTTTCTTATTACAAAGATTTGTGGAATTAATCTCTGTGAAAGTAAATGTAAAAAGCAAATCTTCTTTACCTCATGGAATCGCATTATAACTGCACAGGAGCACTTCGCTGCTTTATTTGGACTGACTGTTTTTGCTCCCCTGTCCCATGTCACCAGCTCTACCACCCACACCTCCCTGAAGGGAGAAGAGCTCTGTCAGAAGACTGCCTGGTAAATCAAAAGCGCTTCGTGGATAGTCATACTGTGTGTTGCACCAGAATGAGCCCTACTTATGCAGCATTCTCCAAATGACTTTCTGCTGGCTCTCTCTTCAATCAAATGCCTGATACCTGAAATGAATGAGGAGACTTCGGAAATTGCTCTAGTAACTAGGTTAAGCTAAACAAATACACTTAAGTTTTGCCTAGTTCCATAGTTCTATAGCCAAATGTGATTTGCACAGATTAGCTGCCAAACTATACTTTTCAAGCGATCTTTACTGAGCTCACAAACATGACCATTGTGCTAGGTACTAAGCAACACGAAGACTGATAATGTTACCATCCCACAGACATTCTTAAGGGCCGTACATGATGGAGACTCTGTCACACTCTGTGATGAGTAAAGGGAAAGAAAGACAATTAAGATAAGATGTCCAATCTACAGGAGTTTCCACTCAAGCAAGAGGAAAAGAGAAGTAATAATTATAATAAATTGTACACAAACCATAAAAGAATTATAAGTCATGTACTGAGTACCCAAAGATGGGAGAAATTGTTGTTGTTGTTTGTTTGTTTGTTTTTTCTGAGCCACTCAGCAGAGGTGGCCTGAGTGAGGCCTTCAAAGATGGCTTTGAACTAGGAACTGGAGATGCCCAATGCTACTTGAGGATCCATATATTAGTAGGTAGCCCAATGCTGGAAGTGCTGAGACTCATCCTGGGTAAAGGGGAAGAACAACAAAAGCTAGAAGACAGGGCAACCAATTTTTATAATGTGTTTATTATGAAAGATTCCTAACATTCACAAAAGGGAGTGAATAATAAAATGATCCCTCAATAAATGCCCATCACCCACATTTAAAGATTATCAAAATGGTGGCACATTTGTTTTATCTACCTTTTTTTCTTTTCTTCCTGAGTTTTTTAAAAAAATGTTTAAGCGTTTTTTATTTATTCTTGAGAGAGAGAGAGAGAGAGAGAGAGAGAGAGACAAAGTATGAGCTGGGGAGAAGCAGAGCAAGGGAGGGACACAGAATCCAAAGCAGGCTCCAAGCTCTGAGCTAGTAGCACAGAGCCCAACGCACGGCTCGAACTCACAAGCCATGAGACCGTCACCTGAGCTGAAGTCGGACGCTCAACCTACTGAGCCACCCAGATGCCCCTCTTCCTGAGTTTTTTAAAAAGGATATGCCAGGGGCGCCTGGGTGGCGCAGTCGGTTAAGCGTCCAACTTCAGCCAGGTCACGATCTTGCGGTCCGGGAGTTCCAGCCGCGCATCAGGCTCTGGGCTGATGGCTCAGAGCCTGGAGCCTGCTTCCGATTCTGTGTCTCCCTCTCTCTCTGCCCCTCCCCCGTTCATGCTCTGTCTCTCTCTGTCCCAAAAATAAATAAACGTTGAAAAAAAAAAATTAAAAAAAAAAAAAAAAAAGGATATCCCAGACATCTATCAGTTCACCTCTTCTGATTTCAATATGTGTCTCTAAAATGGATGGGCATTATCTTATATAATCACAATGCAGTTATCATGAACAAAATTAGTGATAATTCTGAAGTATCACCTAATAATAGTAGGGCCATATTAAATTTCCTCATTTTCCTCAAAACCGTCTTTTTACATGGCTAATTTATTAAGTTGGTGATGGGTTTTGTTTTCTTAAGCTCAAATGCCATCCCATGGAGTTGGGTAGTATCTCATAGGCAGTGGGATTTGCTGGAGGGCCTGGACTATATCTAAATCCTTATTGAATTGCCCTGTACCTAGCACAGTTCCCAGCCCAGGATTAACCCTACACAAATGTTTGCTGAACTGCACTGACTTGAACTGAGTAAAGCTTTTAAGTAGAGTGGCATCTCATCAATACTCAGTTTTAACATAGTGTTAGTAGCGCTAGGAAGGGGCATTGGAAAGCCTGTCCTCACAAAAACTCTGTACGCTCAAGGAGGTGGTAAGACATGTGGTCAAATTGTAGGTGTCAAAGTACTACGAACCATAAACTGGAACTTCATAGAACAGAAATTTCTCAGTTTATAGATTTTCTGAAATGACAAGTCTTTGTGCCTTCTGGGTAGAGGCCATACTTTACGTACCCTTGCATACCTGAATAGACTAATATCCGAACAAACTAATATCAAAGATAGATGTTCCTCAACCAGACCAAAATATTTCCTTCTGATGATTAAAATTTTAAAAATATTTCTTTCAACAGTATTTCGGGTGGGTTTTTCTTGGACTAGCCTGTGTATTCTTAGTATCTAAGTAAAGAAACCACCTGAAGAGAGAGAACTCTATCCAGGAAGAATGGTACTGATCACTGTAGCAAAGTTTCATTGCCTTATACTTTGACACACACTTATACATTTCTTATCCCATTGTTTTGCTTTGTTACTCACAATTAGTGGAATATATAAGTAGTATTACCTAACATTTATAGGTAAGTAAACTGAGGTCCAGAGTAAGGGAGTGCTGTAGTCAAGGCCTTGAAGCTATTTATTGGTGGAGGCAATTTGAAGTCAAGTCTTTGGATACCAAGAACAGCGCTGGTGGTTTTATGTTTCAACAATTTTCTTGATTTTAATTTTCCATGCTTAGCATTGTTTTGACTTCAACCGTTCGATGGCACCAAATCTATTGAGCAGAAGAAGCTGGAAGGCAGCAAAGGCTCCCTGTCTTTGTGGGTGAAACAAATAAATAAACTTTAAGCAGTTTGGAGTATCTTTGACAGCTGACAATGTCCTCTTCATATAATTTTTATAGATTCTTCAGGATCCATTATTATTTTTGAAGCTCTCTTCCAAGAAATCAACAGAATCCTATTTCCCCAATACAGTAGGCCTCTACTTGTAATTAGTGATGTGTTTAATTTGTTCATAGTATCCATAATATATGTATTGTATGAATAGATAATCAGATATTAATACTGCATTGACTTGACATTAAATTTTACTATGAAAATCTTTATAAGATCGGGTTATAGTATTGAAATAAAATGCAGAGAGCAACAAGTAGTTCTGGTTCAATTATTCCATGGCAAATTATCTTCAATTTATTATGAATAAATGTATATGGATCTTGCATTATTAATATGCAAACTATGAGTTCTGCATTCAGCTTTGTATTGTTGTTCCTTGTATGACATCCATTTTGGTCAGCTCGTATTCTTATTTCCAGTGCTACCTGAGTTTCCAATTTTTTAAAACAATTTCCCTTGAGGTATTTTATTTCAGAAGGTTTTCCCAATTTTTGAAAATGGAATTGTTTTGCACAAGTACCTGTAGAAAAGACTGTGTAATTGTCAAGTGCTGTGATTTCTAAAACCTAAAGAGATTGGTGTAAGATATGAATAAAGATTATTTTGGATTTTCTTTTATCTAAAAGCCCTAGAAATTTAATTGTAAGATCAATTGTTTCCACTTATGAGTCAAGTCTGCTTATGGGGGCTATATTTAGTTCCAAAATCTCATTGCAGAAGCTTCTGATTGAGATCACACTCTGTATTTTCACACAGTGATTTCTCAGGACACTCCACCGAGATAGGTGCTAATTTCTATTCTTCTTTATTTCCTACAAGTGGAATTAGAGTGAGAATGTTCAACCAGCCTTTTTTTTTTTTTTCCTTTTAAATTAACTTTTAGCACTTGGAACATTCTTGGAAATGAAGGAAATTCATCCACCTAGATCAGGGAGGTGTGCAGATTTACAAGACTGAAGTTTTTTTCCTCATTTTGTTACAGGATTTGTTACTGATGGGTACCAGGGGAGATGTCCATTGACACTGAAAATATTCTTTAAGGAAGGGGAAGGATAGATGCTATTTAACTTACCAGAGTTGTTGCATTTTGAAACAAAAGAAAAGATTTTTTAGAAGAGTGGAGTTAAGTTGTACACAAAACGTATATTATACACAGTATGCGTGGGGGGGGGGGTCCTCTGGTAAGGTTCAGGCAGTAGGAAGTTTACCTTACAAAAAGATGGTATTGGAGAGGGATGCTGAGAGGCTTACAGCGACTATGTTTCATCTCTTTCTGTCTTGACCACAGCACTGAACCAGAGGCCTTGCATAAAGTAGGTGTTCAATTAAAGCTTGCTGCATGAATAAATGCATGAGCCCAGGTTTATTCTGAAAGAAAACTTACATTCATATCACATAGTATCTATTGGAAGCTCTCAATTTCAACCCCTATCTCCTCTGGATATCCAGAAGATGCCAGTGTGAGCTTTCTAAAACGCAAACCTGGTCCTGTCATTCTTTTCGCCGATCACCTTCAGTGGCTCCCATTTGCCCATAGGAATCAACCCAAATCTCACAGTGTGACATGGGAAACCCTTGCCTGGGACTCCAGCTTCATCTCTTACTCCCCCTTCCTCACATTCCACCCCCCGCCCCCACAAAAAATTAGATGCATTGACTTGTATTCTCTTTCTGTGTTTTTGTGTATGCTGTTCCAGCTTTCATACTCTTAAGGTACCTGGCTAATCACTACCTATCTTTTAGTGTCAGTTCAAAGCTCACCTCTTCTGAGAAGCTCTCCCTGAAACCCTACTTCCTACCGCCTAGCTGTCTCTCTGTCTAGCTATGGAGAAGGTTCTCTGTATCCAGTGGGGTTCTCCATGTCTAGTGCGGCTTCCTGTCCTGGGTCTCTCCCTGATTTGCTCTCTGAATAACCCAGGTCTTTTCACCTTTAAATTCAAGGCACTCGGCATTATAATACCAGGTATACAGTAGGAGCTCAAACATGTTGGAGAAAAACAAAGGGAGCATGGGAAAGAGGAAAAGGAAGAATGTGAGAAGGTGGGGGAAGGGAAGGAGGAAGGGGAGAGGGGGAAAAATTACTATTTGTTCAGACCATTTTTCTAGGCTCTCTAAGCCAGAAATGAGCTCTAAGTGGAAAACAATGCCCAAAATTAAAACAAACAAACAAACAAAACTTCTAAACATAAAACATACATTTTAAAGAATTAGCTCTTATATTTTGTAACTTGTTCATAAGGCTTAAAAGCAATAGTTTTGATACAATTCCTCTTGAGTGGCTACATGACTTAAAAAACAAAAGCAATAATTTTCTCATTAAAGCCTGCACTTTGAAATCAAAGAAAGCATAATTATTTCCAAGTTTATTTGACTCCGATGTTAAGACATAAAAACAATTCAGAAATAACCGAATTCTCACTCTCAAATAGTTTGCTTAAATACCAAGTAAAAAGTCAATTAGTTTGCAGTATCTGCTGTGTTTTGGGGTCATGAGATCAGTCCATTTTACTTCCTCTTTAACATGGGCTGGAGGCTCTTAACTATTTATGGATTTCACTGATCAGCAGGCTCGGCGAAACTGAACCGCTCCAAGTAGCTCCGTATTTTAACAGAACTGGGGTTTTCTTTAAACAGGGGTGCATTTAAAAAGAACTTCAGATACGTCTGAATATTTTCCTTTATGATAGGTAAACGTGCTATCATTTTGAGAAAAATACGCAAAACTAGTCTTGCTAATTATAAAATCTAACACTACAATATGAATTCCTAAGGAAAAAACAAGACCTGGTGCTGGGCATGGGGCGAGAGCATGCGCAGAACACTGAACACTGGCAGACTGTGAGTAGATGACCCCATTTGCTCCTCACGTACACTCCTACCCCTCTCCAAACTGCTGAGATTATCAGAGACCTCAACAAAACAAACAAACAAACGCATACACTCTACAGGGCCGAGAGGATTGGGGTTTGACTTTAAATGTGCCGGTGAAGATAAAGCTCCT